ATGTGTGTCTGTCTGTGTGAGCGAAGGTTTGTGAACATGTTTACGTGTTTATGTGTGAGGGTGTCTGTGGGTGTCGGGGTCATGATGTGAATGTGTGTCTGTGTGTGAGTGTGAGTTTTTGAGGCTGAGTGTGTGGGTGCATGTTGGGCACTTTAGTGATCTAAAGCTAGACAGGAAGAGACCAGGTGGGAGTCTACCCCTTCTCCCCTGGGAACAGGAGGGAAGGCTGGGACCATCCTTAACACTGGACCAAGTGGATCCCTGGAGCGCTCTCCCCCCTGCTTTACTCTGAGGGCCGCTGGACCTTCCTTTAACAGAGAGCCTGGGGTACCAGGAGTGGGTGAAGGGCTGGCAGAGAGTGCTGATGCGGCCTCCTCTTTGATCACAAACAGTCCAGATTTTCCAAAGCTGGTCAGAGGCCCAGCCCAGGGAAGTCCCTGGCTAGGATGGGCAAGGAGTGGAGGCCAAGTCACTGTCACAGTGGCTTCTGTGCTGGAGAAGAATAGAGGGAAAAAAGGGAGGGGCCCTAGAAGAGGGAGCATGAGAGAGGACGTGGGGTGAGGCTGAAGGAGGATTGCTCTCAGAGCCCTGTCAGGGCTTCCCAGGATTAGGAAATGCTCTAGTTCCCACGGGTCTGCCTCCTTCGGGGGCTGGGCTGGGCCTGGCTGACCTCTTCCCACTTCTAGGAGAATGACAAGGGGCAAGCTTGGATCCATACTCAGATCCGCTTGACACCCTGACCTGGAGAGAGGGAGGCGAGGGAGAAGAGCTGGGGTGGGGAGGCCTGGGGCTCCTAGGAACTGTGGGAGGGGCCTGGCAGGCTGCGTCTGCTACACTTTGCCCTTTCCTCTCCTCCAGTGGTACCCTAGAAACCCTAGAGTAACAAGCAGACACAGGGACACAGGGAAACAGTTGGGATGGAGAAAGAGGAAACCAGGAAAGATCTTGGAGAACAAGTCAGGAGGAATGCCTTCTAGGCCTGGCGCTTCTGAGAACATTTTTGGGAGGTCTAGGGCAAGGTCCTCCATAGCTCCAGGCCCTGGGGCCTCGCTGGAAAAACGAGATAATCCTGCCCACTCCATAGGGCTGGTGGTCATAATTATCATCGCTGCCTTTCACTGACGCCAGGCCCTGTGGCATTTCGTTCTCTCTCTTCTGTCCACTGGGCACTGTTCTAGCCTTCATATTATTAAGGAGGAAACAGGCGGAGAGCGATCACGAGGTGTGAGTGGCCGGGCTGTGATCTAAGCCCAAGTCTGTTTGACTCCGGAGCCCACGCCCTAACCCTTACAAGACAGGCCTCGTGGAGGAGGGGCAAATTGTGCGTATGACATGGTGTAACTCACCTTAAGGTGCCGAATGAATGTGAAAGGTTAAGGAGATCTTATGGCCCTCATATCCATCCCCTCCTGCACTTATTTGGGAGGTAGGTAGGGAGAATTAAAAATGCATTCTCCTGAGGGTGGGAAGCAGGGACCATAGACTCTGCTCACTTATTTACTTCTCACCAAAAAATATGATTACCTAGTACAATTTCAGTCAACATCATGTGCTTGACACGCATTTCTTGTTTAACTATCACTGAAATCTCTCTCTCATATACACACACACCCAACACCAAAAAGCACCTAGAATCCACCGGAGGGTTTTACATTCCTGAGATTGCCTCAGGCTATGGAGACGTGAGACTGGATCTAAGGAAGAGACCCAGACCCAGGGTTGCTATTTTCCTAGCTCATTAGCTGCTCGCCCTGAGTTTCATTCACCCCCAGCCAAAACCCTGATGCACTGATTCAGCTAATGGAGCTCACGCTTGTTTGCTTTAGAAGCTCCGTTTCCCATCAGTGGGGGTGAGGGGGTGTGGAAATAGCACTGCTCTGGGTTCTAGTCCCAAGTACTAATCACAAACTCGCTGTAAGACCGCCCTCCAGCAAGTCCCTGACCCCCTCTGGCCTTCAGTGGCTTCATTTGTACAAGGAAAAGGCTGAGTTTGATCCTTTCTAATGACCCTTTAAGGACCGGTATATTGAGTTCTGTGTCTTGCTAGCTAGCAAGACTCCATAGCATAATGCTTAAAAGCATCCTGAGTTTAAGACCCTGGATCTTCATACTGCCATTACCTTTTGCTGTATAAGACCTTGTACACACGATCTAACACCTCAAGACCCCAGTTTCATCTGTGAAATGGGGACGATATGGTACTGACCTCAGAGGGTGGTTGGGAGATAACATTATGTAAAAGTGCAGGCCTAGCACACAGCAAATACTCCATAAATATTACCTTTTAATGTTTTTAATATGCAGCCTCTACTCTTTAGGCACTTGATTTAGAGCTCAGTCAATTACAGGTGGGTTTTTTGGTATGTTTCTTATTTCCTTGAAATGTGGATTTAGGTCTGATTTTGGAGCAGCCTTGGTGTAGATGGTGGGAGTGGCAGAAAGGAGATTGGGAAGTTGCATGCTTTAAAACAAAACAAAACACAGGCCTTTTGATTAACGCCCCCTGTGGAGCTTTGCTTGGTGCCTGTCACCACTCTGGAAGAGCAAGAGGTCCCCAGCTACCTGACTCACTCAGCTCCCAGTATCAGGCCCAGCTTTCTAGCTTGGAAATCTCCCTCCAGATCTGGGGGTGGCAGGGGATGCCAGGCTAGGGGGCCTGTTTCCCACCCTGCCAGGCGCCCAGACTCTAGGGCCCCACAGAGGATGTGGATGGTGGAATGGAACCTAGGAGGTTGCATTTCTGGGTTTAACAGCGAAGTTCTACCCAATGCATGCAATCCATGTCTACATACTACTATCATTTCTCGAATGCCTACTGTGTGCCAAACTTTGGGCTTTACTTGCGTTACCTCATTTATCCTGATGATCACCTGAGGGGTAGGTACAATTATTATCTCTATCTTTCAGAGAGGAACTGAGGCTTAGAGAGGCCACCCAGGTAGTAAGTGGTTGAGTAGGGGTTAGAACCCCATTACTTAGATCCATAGCCTATGTTTCATAATGAGTATTGAGTTTCTGTAACAAAGTAAGAAAAATCATGACCTTGTAAAGACAACATGGTACGGTGGAAAGAGCACACACGACCAGGAGCCAAGGTCCTGGCCTCCAACCCTGGGTGCACCACTCAACGTGCATAGGCTTGAACAAGTCCTTTACTACACTGAGGCCTCAGTTTACCTATCTGTTGAATAGGGGATTGTGATCAACGGTCTCCAGGGCCTCTAACATGGTGGGATGTTCTGAAATCAAACTAAGACTTAAAAGGATGGAAGGGTGGGCACAGTCATGGCTTTGAAGAGATGACTTTTCTCACACTGCAATTATCAAAAGTTATCCAATAGCAGGAAATCGGGCAAAAAGGTGATTGTGTGAACTTTGTATGTCATACTAGAGCATTGTCCAACAAGCCCACCTGGGAATCATCTGGCACTTTGGGGAATGGAACTATTTGCCTAACTCTTTAAGGACAGACATTTTACAAAAACAGTTGAAATAGTTTGGAAACAAATGCAAATAGTTGGAGACACTTCATTTTTTAAAGTAAATTTCAGGTGCATGAGAAGACTTGGGTTGGGATTATGAAGAGAACAGTCCAGGAAGAGGCAAATTGGGAAGTAAAGAGGAAGAGTAGGAAGAAAACCGGTTTGGAGGGGCCTCATAGGTAGAGGTGAGGCCTGAGAGCCACTGAATCCAAGATTCTAACCTCCCTGTACCCTCCCCCATTGGTGACACTCAGTGGTGTTCTGTTTGGTGTTTGCATCCCTCTCTCCCTCTGTCGCTTCAAAATCAGGGTGTATGTGAACTTATTTTCATAATTCAAATGAACTAGAATTAATACTGTCTTGAGAATCTGATGACACCTTTGAAGCAACTGAAGGCCTCCCAGGATGTCACAAAGCCTGAAAGGAGAATCCTCGGATAGGCATATACTTGCGTAGAGGAGCGCGTGTGTGTGTGTGTGTGTGTGTGGTCACACACAGTCACGGTTGCCTGACAGATCTCTCCTTCCATAAAATGAGGGCCTGTATGGAATAGCTCCCGAAATCCTTTCTGAGGATGAGAGCCTGTCAATGACTAAGTTTTCAACAGTTCCAGTGAAATGAGTGTTTCGCAATAGGTTTTTCATAAAGCTGTATTTACCCAACTTAAAGAGCTGTCTTTTATCCCAAGGTTAGGCCTTTCCACTTTTTGGAATTAAAACGTACCCTCTTTTAAATAAAATGATTGGCTTAAAAAAAAAAAAAATAAGTGTTCCCAACCTTAAACCAAGTTACCGCTCCTTACTGTTCTGGGAAATCCCACAGCCTATTTGGACGATCTGGCCCATAAAGGTAGGCAGGGTAGAAGGCAGGCAAGGATTTGCCCACCTGGGTTTGAATCTTGGTCTGGCCACTTAATGAGGTCATGTAACCTCTCTGTGCCTCGTATATTAATTTATTTATAGTAAAAAGGGGGATAAAACCCACTGCACTAGGGTGGCTGTGCGAATTAAAGTAATGCGTGCAAAGTACTTACAATGTTAGGGCAGTAAGTTAGCAAAAAAACTGTTAGCCGTAATAATAAGATTCTTTAAGGGTTCATTCACCTCGGAATTTCTATGAGCTCTGCTAAGAAGTCCAGGAAAGCCCTGGACGGAACTCTGGGGCCCTGAGCCCTAGCTCTGGCTGAGCTCCAAATGCTTACGTGCCTTTTGGCAAGTCCCCTCCCTGCTCTGGCCTGTGCGCCCCTCCGCACAAGGAAGGGGTGGGGTGGTCTCTGCGGCTCGTCTCCGTTCAGAAATTCCGGCTTGCAGGGTGGCCCCAGCCGCATTCCGGTGCCCGGGGTTTCCGGCGCGGGGCTGCCCTGACCCGGGGCGGTCGCCATCCGAGGCGAAGACAGCCTCGGGCCTGCCTGCGGGACGGGTTACCCGCGGCTACCGGGCCGACTCTCGGGCCCCCAGACCTCGGGCGCCCGCTGTTTACCTCGCTCCGTCCCTCCCCGGCGGCCGCGGGCCCGCCCGGACGGCGCGACGCGATTGGGCGAGCCGCCTGTCAATCGCCGGGGACTTTCCCAGGGGTAGGGCGGCCCGGCCCCTGGCACTTCCTCGTCCCGGGCCCTGTCCCCCTGCCCCAGCCCGGAGCCCGCGCAGTGCTGCGGAGCCAGAGCCTGGCCCGGGCCACTACTCTGGCCCTGGACTCCAGGCTGGACGCGGAGAGCGCGGCGCTGTCCCGCAGGGCCCCCACCCTGAGGTAAGCCGGCCTGGCTGGAGCGGGGGATGGAACGAGAGGAAGGGAGTCCGGGACCGGGCCGTTCAGAGCCTCGGCAGTGACCCGGCGTCGGGTAGGAGGTCAGGCCCGGCCAGGTGGCCCGGGCTCCTCAGCGCCTGGGCCCCGGCGCGCGAGGTTCCGGGCGCGGGGCGCCTCCCGGCGCGGCCGGGGTCGGGTTGTCTGGGGAATCCCTGCCAGGCGCGGAGGGTGGCGGGCGCGCGTGCGCACTGCGTGGGCGAGCGCGTCTGGGAACGGCGTGCAGGCGGGGTGCACCGCGGCAGCCCAGCGGGTGGGGGGAGTGTGCGGGCGTGGGTCTGTTTACACTGTGGGAAACCAGTTTTGGAAGCAGTGTGCACATGTGATGAGTGCCCACCTCTTACTGGGCACTTGCGAAGTGTTGGTCTAAACCCTTTACATCTATTAAACTCATTTAATTGACACATCCATCCTCAAAATGAGTATTATTATTATTATCCCCATTTTACAGTTTAGGAAACCGAGGCACTTGGAGATTGGGGTCACACAGCTAGGGAGTTGCGAAGTCAGAATCTGAACCCTCGCATTTGGCTCCAGAGCCCCCTCTATGCTTTCTGTTGACCATATTGTGCACACAATTGGAGACAACTTTTGTGTGCACGTGCAGGGTAGCTGTAGTGAGTTTCTGGGAGTGATTTTGGGTGTGGAGTTTCTGCGAACCGGTGAGTTTTCCCCTGTAGAACATTTATGTGCATGTGTGTGTGACGGTGTGTATGGAAGTGATTGCATTGTACATTCATTAATTGTGTATGGGAGTGGGTGGGAATTTTGTGTGACTAGGTGAGAGATTGTGTTTTGGTTGGGGGGGACTTTTGTGGATGATGCAGAAGAATCAGCAACATCCGTCTCCACCCCCTTGCAGAATGACAGTGCAGGGAAATCTGTGGATTCCTAATGCATCATTTGTATTTCACAGTCAAAATGGAATTCAATCAGCACTTACTCATTTTCCAAACAATGGGGTATGGTAGAGGGGAATTCGGCATCTGATGAGAGGTCAGGAAAGGGGATTTGCAAATTTTTTTTTTTTATTCTTGACAATGACTGTTGCAATAGGAGACTGGAATATTTATTAATACAAACTCATAGCAATCCTGTGTTGTATTAATATTTCTATTTTACAGCAGAGGGAACTGAGGCAGTGAAAACCCAATAATAGTAATAATAACAGCTTACATTTATGAACACTTACCATGTGCCAGGCACAGTGCTTTACATTCAGTATCTCGTTTAATCTTTTCAGCAACCCCAAGTGATAGCCACTATTAGTAGCTTCCATTTTCAGATGAGGAAACAGACCCAGAAAGGTTAAGACTTGCCCAAGACTATTTAGCCTTGAACCCTGGGCCCTGTTCCCCTCCCACTGACGAGGCTGCTGTCCTGGCTGTGTCCTGGGAACATAATATGCTCAGGGACTGGTACTTCATGGAAGCACTTGATCATGTCCTTCTGGAAGCTGCAGCCATGAGTGTCCTGTGTTCTACGACTTATGTGACCCTGTTTTCCCCCACCCATGGGTGTCCCGTGGGTATGGCGTGGCACTCACGCTGAGGGTTGGTGCCTGCCCCTATGCCCACACCAGGTCTTTTGGGGCCCCAGGAAGCCGTGGGATCTGACTCATACCCTTCCCCCCAGTGCTGCCTGTGACTCGGGGCCCGGATGTCCTGGGTTGGGTCGGGCCGACCTGATTTGAGCACCTCAGAATTGTAGGAGGTCGTCGGTCTGCCTCCCTCTCTGGGTGCTACTGGGTTCTGCTTACTCCCAAGCTCACTGTGATGTAGCTGCAGCAGCCTTGTTTCTACTCCAGCGTGCCAAGCTTGATCCTATTTTGAGGCCTTTGTGTGTGCTGGTCCTTCTGCCTGGAACACCTTTCCCCAGCTCTTTCCATGGCTGGTTCTTCCTTATCTGTCAAGTCTCAGCTCAAATGTCACCTCCTCAGAGGGGCCTTCCCTGACCTTTCTATGCAAAGTAGCCCCTTTTTTCACTTTCTGTCATATTACTGTTGTACTTTTTTTCATACATTCGTCATGCTTTGAAATAATCTTGTTTGCGAATGAGAAAGTATAGGTATAGAACTTAGTGTCTGGCGTATGGTAATTTTTAGTGTTTACTCGTTTGTTGTCTTTCTCTTTTCCTAGAATAGAAGGGTGAGAGAACGCTTAGTCTTCACATTTGCCTCCCTGATACCGGATAAGGGTGTCTGGGGTCAGGGTCTGCTGGGTTTGTTCAATGGATGAGTAGAACAGAAGAAACTAGGATAATGGTGCATTTCACAGATGAGGAAACTGAGGCCTAGAGATGGGAAGGCACTTGTCCCAGAGAGGTGGGGCAGAGTCAGGATGAGGACCAGAACTTGCTTCCCAAGGCATTTTTTTGCCCTTCTGATAGTCAGCAAACATTTCCTGACGGCGCCCAGTGCGGTCCAGAGTGGCGTGATGCACAGGTGCAGAGGGAACTGGCTCTGCCCTGCAGGAGCTTGTAGCAGAATGGGGAGGGATGTGCACTGAGTGCTATCTGGAAGACCTTGTGTGCTAGCAAGTGCCTGGCAGTATGTCTGACTGGACTGCAGAGCAGTTTGGGGGCATCAGGTGGTTAGGGGGCTCCTGGAGGAGCTGACTTCAAGGCCAGGCTCTAGAAAGATGATGAGGTGCAGAACGGGGCCTGAGCCCCTTCTGGAACTTAGTAGACTGAGCAGAGGATTTGGGGTGAGGCTCTGCTGGGTTGGGGGAGCTGACCAGCTGGGCTAGGAAAAACCCTAAAGGTCTTGACTATCAGGCGGAGAAGTGTCGGTTTTTCCTTGTCGGCTGCGTTGGGAAGGGATTAGAGCAGTTGATTGGCAAACTGAAGCATGCATCAGAATCACCTGGGTGGTTGTTAGATTGCTGGGCTTTGTCCTCAGAGCATCTGGTTGGTGGCTGGTGGCGATGCTGATGCTGCTGCCTGGCCGCTCTTTGAGAACCCTTGGTGTAGATAGAGCACACGCTTTCGAGTTTGGCACACCTGGGTGGGTGCTGCCTCTGCTTCCTCATCTGTAAGATTCTGTGACATCAGTGCTACCTTCTAGAGTGGTGCGAATTAATGAGACGCGTCAGGCACTCAGTAACTGCTAGCTGCTGATCTTGTTAATGATGATAATCATGAGGATACTGAAAGCTTTTCAGTAGATGAGGAGGATGGTTTGACTTTCCATGTGTGGGGATAACTTGCCTTTATCCCTCTGACACCTGTGGACCATGCTGTGTCCTCTCTGGATGGGTTGTCCTTTGCTTTGTCTCAGATGTCTTTCCGTCCCTGTTTGGAATAGTGGAAGCTTCTATCTTGGAGGGGCGTGGCGGATATCTGGCCCAAATTCCCTCAACCGCAGCCAGCAGGTGATCATCAGCGCCTGCTTGACCCCCACCGCCAGAGTGAAGGTGCTCTACCTCATAGACAGCCCCTTCCAGTGATGTGACAGATGGCTTGCTTTTGTGGGCCTGCCTCCCCCGGGTTCAGGTACAGGTTCTTCCTATGTCTCCTCCTCTTTTTCCCCTCATTGCTCACCTGACCACTGGAGGAAGGGCCGGGAGGAGAGAGAGGGCAGTAGCGTGGTGGGGTAAAAAGAGTGCACACCTGGCCACCAGAAGACCCAAGTTTGCCTCCCCTCGGTGTCACTACTGTCACATGCAGCCTTGGGCAGTTCTCTTCCCTTTGCTGGCTTTGGCGTCCCAGCTGCAAAATGAAGGGACTTCACTGGCTGGTGTCTGAGGGCGTTCTCTTCCAGCTCCACAAACTCTGCAGTCCAGTGATTGGCCGCCCTCTCTGGCTCTAGTAGTTTCTAGTCTCTTCCCGCTGGACCAGGCCTTTCTGAGCCCACCCTCCAGCTCCTGGCTGCTGCACCCTGCCTGCCCACCATGCCTGCCCTCCTTCCCTGACTCTCTTTGAAGGGAGGGTGTCTGGGGCCCTCTGGGGAGTTGCCAGAAGGAAGGTACAGGGAAGCAGTGAGAAGCTCCCTTTCCTCTCTGGAGAGCAGAGCTCCCCACCCCCAGACACAGACCTTGGCAGCCACCAAGGCCGGCCAGTTGTAGGAAGTTCTTGATGTTCTTCCCTCTGCCTGGACCAGGACAATCACTCTTCCCATGGGAGCAGAGGACTGGCCTAAGGAGCTGTGTGAGGGCTGTCCCCAGGCAGGGCTGAGCTCCTCTCTCCCCGACGACCTCCCCAGAGAGTGTTCCCTGTGTTCTTGAGCACCTATGGGTGGACAAACCTGCTGGCCCAGGCAGATGTGTGTGTGGGGGGAGGGCGGGGGGTGCTGTGGGAGTCTTGTCACCAAGGAGTCATTCTCAGAAGCCAGAGCTGGTATTTTCAGGGCGGGCGTGGGGGGGTGTCCCATGAGTCAGGGGCCTCTGGTTTGGTCTCCACCCACACGGAGAACGCTCTCTCTGCTCTCCATTGGCCGGCAGTCTGTGGTCGTGTGCCTCCATCGTGGCCAGCTCCGTCAGTGTCTGAGGAACCCTGGTCCTTCCACACTCCCACTTCTGCCTCTGCAATTGCTACCCCCCATCTCAACCCCTCAGAAGAGGAACAGAGTCTGAGGATGGCAACACTGACTTGTAGTAAATATGAAAGAATCTTTCAGACGTACAGGGTAACATGCAGACACCTGGGCATCCACCCATCTGGCTTAAGAAATAACGCATTTTCTGTATGCTGAAATATCCCCCTTCTCCTCCCCTCCAGAAGAAATAAATGTTCTGAATTTAGAGTTTATTCTCTTGCATTTCTCTAGTTTTCTTTTAAATATATGCATCTCTAAACAATATGTAGTATTGTTTTGTATGTTTTAAAATGTTATTTAAATGCTATCATACTGTCTGTATTCTTCTGCAACTTGCTTGTTTTGCTTAATATTTATGAGATTCACCCATGTTTATATCTCTCGCTCTGGTTCATTCATTTTTCATGGCTGT